CTTGTTCACAGTTTTTGTTTTTCAATTCTAAAGTTCATGAAAAAATATCAAGATTTGAGAAAAGTTTCTATTATTCCATAAACATATATTAATTTTCGAAAAACAGAAAATAAAAGATAAAAAGAAAAAGAAAAGAAAGAAATACGAAAGAAACTGATATGAAAAACGTAGAACGGAATAACGACCCGGGCCATTCCCATGTGCTGGCGTGCAAGTTTGGCGAAATCATTAATTGAGGAGTACTCGTTGCAAAGATCACTCCAATTCCCCTAGATGCGATAAGTGGCGCGCATGCAGCGCGCCACTTATCGCAACCTGAGAGTTTTCTTTTTTTTTTCGTAGATCTGTTTATTCAAAATGTTTTATCTCTCAAACCGTGCGTCCAAATGTCGAACCGCTTTCACCATTGGATTCCTCGCGTCAAGATCTTCAAAACTAGATCCCATGTTGATAGGTTTTGACGAACTTTTTTTTACGAGAAAAATCGAACAAAAAAACCCGGACGAAAAAACCGACCGGGAGCACGGGTTTTTTCCCTTTTCGAAAGAGGCACGCCCGTGCCTCTCATGAAATCACAACCTTGCCTCTCGCGGAAGCAAAACCGTGACTCGTGCAGAAGGAAAAAAAAGAAGAGAAAACACTTTTTTTCCGTTTCGAGGAGGCACAGCCGTGACTCTCGTGAAAGCACAAACTTGCCTCTTGCGGAAGCAAAACCGTGACTCTCGCGAAAGGAAAGAAAACAGAAAATGCGTCTTTTCCCTTTCCGAGAGGCACGGCCGTGATTCTTGCAAAAGCACAACCGTGCCTCTCGCGGAAGCAAAACCGTGACTCTCGCGAAAGAAACAAAAACACAAAATGCGTATTTTTTCCGTTTAAAAGAGGCACGACCGTGACTCTCGTGAAAGCACACCCGTGCCTCTCGCGGAAGCAAAACTGTGGCTCTCGCGAAAACAAAAGAAAATAGAACACGCGTTTTTTTCATTTTCGAGAGGCACGGCTGTGACTCTCGCGAAAGCAAAATCGTGCCTCTCGTAGAAGCAAAACCGTGACTCTCGTGAAAAGGGAAAAAAAGAAAACATGTTTTTTTGCGCAAAAAAAAATTTAAATTTTTTTGATTGAAAAGCTAAGGAAGACCGGTGGAAAATCAAAACGTCAAAAAAACTCAAAAAAACCATTTAAAAAGCCGGAAACGCGTGCGGAAAAATAAAAAAATAAAATCTGAAGGAAGTGCCTAGAGCGCGACACGTGGCGAATGGCTGAGAGCGCGCCAAGTGGTGCTGATCGTTGCGAGGCTCCCGAAGGAGCGCTCGTTAACTAGTTGCTCTCCAAGTTTGGTCCCGATCAAATTTTTTACATACTGCTGATAGCAATAGTTTAGGTTCTCATCTCTCACGTGTGTGGGGTTTTGGGATTCCTTAAGCAAGGTTCCTGAACTTGTTTATTTTATTTTCTGGTTTTCTTTCTTTTTAATTTTTCTTTAATATTTTCTACTTTTTTCATTTATAATTTTTGGAACAATCGGATTTTCATAAAAATATTAAATTTGAATTTTCATCAATTGTTCACGTTTTTCAACTAATATACAAAATCTTCCAATTTTTCTAAATTTAATAAATTTATTTGTTTCAAAAAATTATAATTTAAGCAAATGATCATCTTTTATTTAAAAAAACTGTTAACAATTTCAAATAATGTTCTTATTTTCGGAAAATGTTCTTAATTTTCAATATTTTGTTCACAATGTGAAATAATATTTCTGGATTCACGAATATTTTTCAAATTCATGAAATTTTTGTATTTCATGAACATTCCTGAATGCGTGAACACCGTGATTATTTTTAGATAACCATGAATATTTATTGAATTAATGAATATTTTCAAATTTGTGAACCTTTGTTGAATTCACTTGCATTTTTAAAACTTTAGAATGTTTTTTCAAACTTATGATTTTATTAAAAAATTAAAAACCTCAAAAAAATGTTATTTTTATGGTGTTTTTCCAAAACTTAATTGGTCAGTTCTTTTTTTTTTGTGAAAGGACCGTGGCATTAAAAAAAGCACCGAACAGTATAAAGCACCTCAACAAAAATGAAAATCACAACGAAATCCTTAATAAGCCCTTCGTCTTCATCCTCCAGACTGTGTCGACGGCGCGTCACCGTTGCCGCTCCTACCCGGGCCAGCCTGGCGTTGTTGGTTCCGGACGGGAAGTCGCCGAACGGGTCTGGAAGGTCACATCCATCCCGGAGAAGAAGAAGGAATAACCGTATATGAAGCTCCTTCACAATCCAGAAATCCCCACAACCAGAAGAAATTCTCGAGAACAACACCGCTCCCACAAGCTTCTCGATGTCGCTGCCGAGATGGGACTGTAGCCGGACAGACTTTATTGAACAAGGCGCTGCAACCACCATCTGAGCTATGCCGATGGGAGGCGGGGAGGATCCTAATCGCCAATGGGAGCTCTCAGGCGAAGGGGTACGGGACTGCGATTTAATTATCATTTCGAATGTTCAGGGGGATATAAGCTAGGTCATAGGGATTGGAAAGCCACACATGGCTACTCTGATCAGTAGAAGTAACTATGAGCCTCAATATTCGATTCACGACCTTGCAAGATGACAGCACAACTCGTGAAATTTGTCATAGTGGCATTAATTTCCCTTATGACTATGATGTGTGGACCTTGTGTTCCTTCCTTGACGCTCGCAACGATTAGCTTACGGGCGCACAAGAAAAAAAAATCACGTACGCTTGCTCGAGTTTACTCGTGGGCTTGCCCTGGCCCATTGACAGTAACAACAGCTAGCGACGGGATCTGGGAGAGGAGATCCTAGTCGGTAATTCCTAAACGGCGCCCTCAGCGCCCGTTTACAGCCATTTCGCAATCGGGCGCATACCCCTCAAGCAACTTGGGCTCGGCCCATCTTCTCATTTTTTTCCTTCTTTATTCCGCAAAAAAGGTAACGCCCGACAGGGATTCGAACCCACGACGTCCTCACTGATTACGAGCACCACTAACCAACCCGCCATAGATATCTGATGTGCCTAATTGCATCTTCTACTTTCTTTTGTTCTTTCCTCCTTTTTTTCTTGTTCCTTTCTTTTGAAGATTTAGTTCGTTTTTTTTCTTTTCTCTTTTGCAAAATGCGTGAACTATTTTTCAAAATCGATGAACTCTTGTTGAAAGTTGACGAACTATTTTCAAATTTGATGATTTTTTTTCAAATTCGATGAACTTTTTTGAATTTGATGAACTTTTTTTTAAAACTCGATGAACTTTTTTCAAACTTAATGAACTTTTTTTCAATTTCAATCAATTTTTTTTCAAACTCGCTGTTTTTTTGAAACTCGGCGAACTTCTTTCAAATTCAATGAAGTTTTTGTTTCTTTTTCGTGTATTTATACACAGTTCATTGCATATTTATATACAAAAATGTTCATCGTATATTTAATAAAATGTTCAACATATTTAAGAAAATGTTCATTGGGTATATTAAAATTGTTCAGCATATATTCACAACAATGTTAAATGCATATTTATACATTGTTCAGCGTATGTCACAAAAATGTTCAATGTGTATTTAAATATTTGTTCAGCATACATAAAAAAATGTTCAGTGTGTATTTAAAAACTGTTCAGCATATATCACAAAATGTGCAATGTATATTTAAAAATCGTTCATCATTTGAAATTTCAACTTTTTGGTTCATTTTTCCAATAAATGTTGATATTTTTAAAAGTCTGGTCAACTAGTTCATTTTTTGTTCATTTAGTCGCTAGTTCCAAGTTGGTGTGGTGGTTAACCATACTCGTACGTTACAATTATGGCGCAAGTTGTTTCTTTTTGGCTTAAATTTTTCTGCGTTGCCTGCCAGCGAACGAAGTAATACTGGGCCGGCCCAGTAGAAGCACTTCGAGCGCCAGTAATCAAAACCGGCGCTGAGAGCGCCGGTTAGGACCTCCCGTCCTAGTCAGCTCTTTATGCGCTCTTTCTGGCACTCGCTAAGCTACAGAAACTGGTCGGCCCGTTTAACCACTAGTGAAGCACTTCCTCGATAGAAAAAAAAGGTTCGTTGATCAACAGTTGACCAGTCAACCATTGATATTTGAAGAAAAGTAAAAAAATCAGAAAAATCGCAAAAAAAATCATGAGTTTGAGAAATGTTGAAGGATTTTTTTAAAAGTTCACAAACTTCGAAAAAATCATGAATGTTTAAAAAGTATCTCAATTTTGAAATAACTTTGTTGAATTTCTAAAAAAAGTTCACAAAAAATCGAAAAGATCTTCGATTTTGGAAAAAAAGTTCAGAAATTTGAAAAAAAATCATCATGTTACAAAAAATATTTCATGGATTTTGAAAAATTTCACAAATTTTTAAAAAGTTCACCAATTTTGATAAAATGTTTACAAATTTGAAAGAAAACTCACCTATTTAAAAATCCTATGCGCACCTCCTTTTTTTTTTGCTTTTTAAAACCAAGGGCTTTCCGCTATCTGAGAAATAATATAAAGGGATAAAGAAGTGTTAGTCACAGGCGTTAACATGGCCTAGTGGTTACTGCTGTCTTCTCTTGGGCGGAAGCTATTTTTTACTGTACTAAATGGGCTGGCCCAGCAAGGAATGTGGTGCCGTTTAATTCGCCACCTGCGAGACCGGGCTTCCCTCAACAACAACAAAAAAAAAACCTGCGAGACCGGGCCATGCACGCGACGGCACACGATCGGTGCCCCTAATTCGGTTCTGGGTAGTGTCGGGCACACACGAAACCGGGCCGTTCAGGATTCGCTAACCAGGCGAGGCAAGCAACGCCACACGATCGGTGCCCCCTAATTCAGTTCAGGAAACCGGGCCTAGCCAGCCAAGCCTATAAAATGGAGGAGGGCCTTGGGAGAGGAGGACCGGAACGTGGATTTTTCTTTTTCAAGAAAAAAGCCTACAAAGCTCTGTCTCTCTCTCTCAAAAAAAAAGAGGCGCACAACACAGCTCTCCAGATAATGTTTCTCCTCCTTAGCCTCCTCGTCGCCGGTGTGCTGGCCTCCGACAAGCCCGTCTGCCCGGCTCGCCAGTGCGGCAATGTGAAAATCCAGTATCCATTCTGGGTCGACATGGGCGGCGCTTGGCACTGCGGTCATCCGAGCCTCCGCCTGGAATGCCGCGGCCGCACACCTGTTCTGTGGCTGCCGTCGGGAGAATACGCCATCACCAACATCTTCTACGACGACACAGTCGACGGCGACCGGAGGGTCTCTCTGTTCGACCTAGGCGTCTTCTCACAGCACAACAAAGCCTGCCCGTTCGTCGGCCGGAATCTCACCCTCCCGTCCGGCTCCCACCCGACGCTTTCACTCACCGCCAGCGACACCAACCTCACCTTCTTGGTGAACTGCTCCTACATCGACGACACCGCTGGAGCGGGACACCTCATCGACTGCCTCAACAGCGAGGAACACAAGAGCACTTACGTGTTCCTTGGCGACTTCCTCCCGTATGACTACACCACCCAATGCGAGAAAGTCATCACAGTGCCGGTTCTGAGAACGTCTCTGCATGGCGGTACAACTACAAACCTGCTTCACGCCGTCGTCCCTGCGCTGAAAAAAGGCTTCGAGCTTAGGTGGTCGAGGCCGGCGGCGATGAGTGAGTGCGTGGGCTGCGAGAATGGCGGGGGTTTGTGCGTCCACAAGCGGGAGGCAGGGAAGAAGTCTTGGACGTTCACATGTGTGACAAATGCTAGTGCCGCTCCATGGGCCGTCGCACTCAAATCTCTAGGTACGTACGACAGTTATTCCTTCATAAACCCGCATGTTGTCACTATTGCTTGCTTTACTTTCGACATTTAAAATTGATGCTTGAACTTGACGCAAACGGTCAATTTGATGGTTGGTGCTAGAACTTATGGTATGCATTGCACTGGTGCATCATCTTGGCTTTAGCGTGTAAATACGGTGAAAATTCCAGCCGTACACTGCCACGGTGCTGACGAGGCGTGATAGTGTGGTAGGAGACCCGTTGTCGATGACTGGATGGCCAAGAGGGGCCCTGCTGTCACTGGCTAGATGGCCAAATGGGCGCATCTGGCCGGTTATTTTTTGCGAACACCCCCTTGATTTTTCTCAGAAAAAAGCCCATGTAAACATATAACCCCTAAATCCCAATCTATGTGTATGACCGGATTCGAATCTTAAACTGTACAACACGGAAGAAATAACCACGGGGCTGGAGTAGAAGAGTAGCCGCGCTTTGCCGCGGCCGTTGATTTTTGCGTTGGCAGCTTATGACAGAGCATTGTAGTTAACCTGCATAATTAAGCATCTTCTACCAATTTTTTCAACAACAAGAAAGCATCATCTACCAAGAAGAAACAACAATGTGCAAAGTTAACCATCTTCTTGTTCAGAGCAATCTCCTCCCCTTCTTGTAGTTAAAATCTCTTTCCTTTTTTTCCTTTTCTTGTTAACCTCAGCGTTATTTTTTTTGTCCTGCTATACTTGATGTCATAGGTTTTTTGAAATATCGTTTCCTGCGTAACAGTACCAACTCATGATATCTTGTTTTTAGATGCTATAAAGTAAATAAGTTAGATATAGAAACACCAATGAACCACTAATTTTAGAACAATCATACGCTGTTTCATTTCAGATATTTTTACTGATTCTCCCACGAGCTAACATCATGCATGGTGCATACGAAAGCAAGTAGGTATACGAAATTGGAGCGACCATGCCTCGCATCACGTTTCACGACAAGCGAGTAGGCTACGCCGCTCCTAAACAAATCAATATAAATTTAAACATGACTAAAAGAAACACATCATACAGACCATTGTGCTATCACCCGCATTAATCACGTAGAACTATCAGATCGTAAAAACTTTGAACTCAAAATTTATTTGGTATTTTTGGATGGTAAAGTCTGAGATTTTAGGTAGTAATAGAATCTACCACCCCTACCACATAACTCTTTAGTGACCGGCGAAAATATATGTACACTTAACTAAATGCATGTTAAATTTTGAAAGCTTCATTCACTTGGTAACTATTTCTTATTTTGTGCAGTTAACAAAGAGGGTACTGTACTGAAGATTGCATTACCAATAATTGCTGGTCTTCTGATTCTCACATGTGCATCTTTTGTATGGGCATACAAGTTAACAGGTAGAACAACTTTTCGTTTCAGTTTTTTAAGATGCATTGTCTATGACGTATTTGTAAGGCAATATTGATATGAAGGTATTCATCTTAGGTGAACGGAGAATCAGCAATATTCAGAACAATGCTACACGACAACCCTTGGACATATTCACGCTCAATGAACTTGAGATAAATATAGAGCTTCCGTCGATTAGTTTTGAAGAGATCAGTACTGCAACAAATAATTTCTCAAACAACAACATGATTGGCAGAGGTGGTTTCGGGGTAGTTTATAAGGTAAGATGCCATTTCACGATAGTGATCTTGTTAGATTTTTTCCAATCTCATGTTCACTTCAAATTTAAGAATTATGTATTGATGTAGGGGATTTTCGGAAGCGGAAAGGAAGTCACTGTAAAAAGACTCAGTAAGATTTCTAGGCAAGCGGCTGATGAATTCAAAAATGAGGTGATCTTGGTCACCAAATTGAAACATAAGAATCTCGTTCGGCTTCTTGCCTATTGCGCTCACGAGGACGAGAAGTTGCTAGTCTACGAATACATGCATAATAAAAGTTTGGATGCCTTCCTTTTTGGTATGTCCTAACTTATGGTCATAACTCACAAAACATTTTTCTTTTCTTTTGAAGACTTCTTGCAAAACTTTCTTTGGTTTACTGAGTCTATTTCGCATTGGTCTTCGAAGACACTACAAGGAGATCCATACTTGATTGGCCAACCCGGTTCAAGGTAATTAAAGGGCTTGCAAGGGGGCTTCTTTATCTGCACCAAGATTCGAGGCTGACAATAATTCATAGAGATATCAAAGCAAGCAATGTCTTGCTAGATGCAAAAATGAACCCCAAAATAGCTGATTTTGGTATAGCAAAGATATTTGAGGGAAATGAGCCACAAGCAAAAACTACCCACATTGTCGGGACATTGTAAGTAATACATGAAACCAACTTATAGTTTGACATGGTAATTATTTAGCGGTCAAATAACTGAATTTTTTGAAAATGATTCAAACAGCGGTTACATGTCTCCTGAGTACCTGATGGAAGGTTTCTATTCCGTCAAGTCTGACACCTATAGCTTTGGTGTCCTACTGTTGGAGATTATAAGCGGATTAAAGATTCGTTCAGTCCATGTCATAGCGGATGACTCACCAAGCCTTACGGCTTACGTAAGTACATAAAAAATCTCTATTTTCAATAACCCAAAGCATCATAATAACTTTATGATTTCATTGGTTTAGGCGTGGAAGTTATGGAAACATGGAAACGCGAGAGGATTGGTGGACTCCTCAATTGTGGAAAATTGTCCACTTGACATAGTCGTTAGATGCATTCAAATAGGTCTTCTGTGTGTTCAAGACTATCCAGATGATAGGCCATGCATGTCATCCACTGTCTCCATGTTGGAAAATGAAACAGTTCCGCTTCTTCCTCCGAAGGAACCTTTATACTTTCCACAACAGAACCATGGAACAGGAGACCACGGAGATAATGTGGGCATATCCGTGGATGACATTACTATCACCGAGGTAGAGGAACGCTAGATATGTACTTCCATTGATCTTTTATGTAAACATCTCTAGTTTGTACATTCATGTTCGTACAAATAAATGAATAGTTTATGAATACATTGGAATCCCCTGTGTTATTTTCATATATGGTTTCCTTATTTTGAGAACTTCAGCAGTAGTTTCTGCATCTGTTTTCACCTTGTCTAGTGGAAGAAGCTACTCGATCATATGTGGACCACTTATGCGGTTGTTTTTTCTTCTATGAAATTTGTGCTTGTGAACTTCCTATGTTAGTCATTCGGTATGAATTTCTGAATTGGTATTTTTGTATAAAGGATGGTAGAAGTTCATATTTTTCAGAGTTGGATAAAAGTGATGACTTGCTATTGATTAGGCTAGGTTTCCATGACTAATGCACATGACTATTCTTTTACTACAAAGTTGTGATGGCCCTGGGCACATGGGACTTAGACTTCCCTTTAACTTGGTCTGTAACCACATTTGTAGTAACTTGTTTATTGTTTTGCCCCCACAAAAATTAAAAATAACATATTACTCTTTTTTACACTTGAGGGGTCCGGCCATCCTTGTTTTCACTGTGTAGTGTATTACATCATGAAGATTGAAGATGATAGGTCCCAACACTGCTTAATTGGGTGCCAACTTTAGTCTCCAATGTTGACATCAGATTTTGGCACTGAAGAAAACATTATTAAACTGACCTCAAACAAAGACGTGATCTACATGAAGAAGTTTTGCATTGTCGACATGAACATCTTTGAAGTCTTGGTCATCGCCATCCGATCTCATCTCGAGGGCCTAAGTTGTGTTGGAAGTACTAATATTTCATGTTTAGGTTACTGTTCGGATGATTACACCTACAAAACGACCTCATATGAGAAAACGGTTTACATGGTTGTCTTAGCCTTGCCAAAACGGTCGATTTTGATATAAAAATCGTTTTAATATGAGGTCGTATGCAAAAATTAAAGCCTGCTCAGTGTGACCCTACCATGAGCAAAGAGTGACGCCCAACACAAGACATCCATATGAGTGTCTGATGGTTAGCGTGAGTTATTGCCTGTTTTGCACAAGTGAATCAGCCCTCAAGATGCACTCGCATCAAAAAACGTTCAACATGAAAGTTGTTCGCCTCGTCAAAACTGTTGAAATTGATTTGGGCACTTCTCCATACAAGTTCGTTTACTGCCTAAAAAATGACACGCGAGGTGCAACCAACTTTTAAACCGAGCAGTTTTGGAAAGTTCGGGTCAAACATCCGAGTTGGACCTAAATTAGGGTTTTGTACGTGAATCCAAACCATTTCCTTGCACGAAAGTCCAACCGCCTTTCATATACATAAGGGATGACGACCGATTGAAATAAGAGCACAAAATCGAACAAATCAATCTATCATACTTTTAATTTTCATCTATCTTTATCCCTCTCCCTTGCATCTTGCTTCTCATTCTTCGTCATTCTTCAAGGGTGTGTTTGGTTTGAGAACCAAGTGTAATGGAATGGGATGGTTCCATTATGGAGGAATGGATTGGTTCCGTTCTTGCGTTTGGTTTGAACTAAAAAATGGAATGGAATGGTTCTATTCATGTGTTTGGTTGGAGAGATGGGATGTGGCAATAACTAGTCAATATATTCTCTAAAATGACTTCCTTCTATACATCAGCTTGATCAATACAGTAGCGATAACCAGTACAATACATGTATGAAATAATTCTTTTGTATTTTTTGACGTTTATAATTATTTTGTATTAGCATACACGATGGCATATACACACAAATCCATCACGTCTTGGCTTGATGTGGCTAATCAGTGCTATCATCAACCTCGAGCTAGGGGATTAGGAGAGGAAAGAGCCGATCTCTGCTAGGATCAATATTATATACGAACTTGTACTGAACCATCGCCAGGATCCCTGCTAGCTAGTCACTCCTACTCTCTGCTTGTCGACCGAGTCCTCGGCCTATGCTACCATTAGGGAGATTAGGGAGGTGAAGAAGCACGTGTTCATCGCCGCTAGCCCGTCATAGCAATAGCTCGTCCGCAGCTCGCCCGTTGGGAGGAGATTCGAGAGAGGTGAGAGCAAGATGGGGAACGAGAGAGGGAGAAACAATGGGGAGGTGAGGGAGAGAGCTGCGGCGCATGCGCATATCGTGGTGGGGAGTGGGGAGACGAGGGTGAGTGACCCGTTCCGCATCGTTCCTTCGATTTGGGGGTACGAGTGGATTCCGCATATCAAGTGAATATTCAGTTTCTGGGAGCGGGTTGGTTCTCCTTCCTCGACCCAACCAAACATGCGAACGAGTCCTGAGTGCGGGCCAGACACATTATATTCCAGCTGGTGATACAAACCAAACACACCCCAAGATTGGAGGGCAGCGAACCTCGAGGCTCTAGGGGTGGTCAATCCGACCTAGGGTAGCCCATAGCCGTCGCGTTGTCCTAAAGGTGTCCCTCCCGGGCGAGCAGGGTTTCAGATCTACAAAAGCATCCGCCGGATTGTCTTGCTATCGCGCTTCCCGTGAGCCTCCCTTGGTGCATGCTGCCACACATCGCATTCGGTGTCGAGGGTACACAAGTGACATGTTCGTGCGCGAGCACACGTTTTGGCCACTCCATTGGGGAGGAAGCTTCAAACGGTCTCCAACCCATTCTTGCTACGAAGAGATCATCATTAAGGGTTTGCAATCTACGAAGGTAATATGAATACCCAATCCCCTTGTTTCTGTCTTGCACCGTACATACCAACAAGCATTGTAAACATCCTAAAGGCAAACCTTATCACATTATTTTTATAATACAATGGAATTGTACAAGGGGTAACTATTTTTGATAAAAAGTTTCTGTAATTAAGATTCACAAAGTTTCCGTGAGCATGAACAAACTTCAAGGAGCTCTCCCACTTCAACAATGCTTGTCTCTCTCACTTTCACTTTCCTTTTTGAAAACTGTTGGATTCCCCTCTTTATTTTTTTAAACTATATAAAAGCACTCAACAGAAATAAATGACTCTCTAAAACTTCAGGGTTGTCTCCCTGGCATCGCTTTCTTTAAATCCATTAAGCTAGGCATAAAGTGCTCAAGTAATGGATCCACCCGGATCCCAAGGTATATTCAAAGCCAATTTTAATTAACAATGATTTGTGATTTAGTAGTGAGCACAAAGTAACATGTATCATGCAACAACGAAGTCTAACTCTCTTCCTATGCATCGGCATGTCATAAAAGAACAATTCATGCACACATAGTAAAGGCCAATGCATAGTATAAACAGCTTCTTGCAATTTTATCATATTGGAAACATAGAGAGGTGGAGATATAGTTCCTCTCTCATAATAATTGCAAGTAGGAGCAGCAAGCACATGCATATTATATCTATCAAAATCATCATGTGTAGTAGTAAAACGCAACCCATCAATATAATCCTTAATAAGCACAAACTTCTCCGATATAGTGTAGTCAAGAGAATTCAAAAAGATAATAGGACTATCATGCGTGGGTGCAATAGCAACAATTTCATGTTTAACATAAGGAACTATAGCAAGTTCATCTCCATAAGCATACATATTGGCATCTCGGCCACAAGCATAGCAAGCATCATCAAAAAGGGATATTTCAAGAGAATCAATGGGATCATAACAATCATCATAGCAATCATCCTTCGGTAAGCACGAAGGGACATTAAATAATGTATGAGTTGGAGGGTTACTCTCATTAGAAGGTGGGTGCGGGTAGCTAATCCGCTCTTCCTCCTTTTGTTCTTCGCTCTTCTCATCATCTTTTTCATCCAATGAGCTCACAGTTTCATCAATTCCTTCTTCCATAGGCTCCTGCAAAATATTAGTCTCTTCTTGGACAACGGAGACTTCCTCAACAAATGCATCAATATTGGCATTATATTCATAATTCTCATAGCAATATCTAAGTATAGCAAAAAAAATCAGGTCTGTAAACAGCATCATCAAAATTTTCATACGTTTTAAAAAAGATTCTATTTCATAAGCACCCATAAAAGCAACGAATTCTTCTATTTGTTCCACATCATAGTAATCATATCTACCATTAGCATAAGAAGCTAAGGTTTTATTACCATTAAATTTGCATGAAAAGTCAAGGTGTGGAGCCTTCATCCTAGAGCAATAAGTATAATCATATCTCAAGCATAGTTGCCTAGCATACCACTTCAACATATGAATTTGATCCTATAATAGTTTCCCTTTTTGTGTCAAGCGATAATCCCTAAAGTATTCACGTTGATCCAACGTGTCTCTCATAACGAAATTGAATGGGGGTTTCTCAGGATTATCAAAGTAGTACATAATTTCTGTCACATAACGAGCATCGAGGGTTTTAGGAGGTTCCCCATCTCCATGAGTAGCAAATACACCTAATTTTTTCGGTATTTCGTGTTCCATATCCATAACTAAAGATAGAAAACAACTTAGAACAGCAAATACAAATTACTTAGTGATAAAGCAAACAAGCACACACGAGAATATTCACCCCACGCTATGACTCCCCAGCAACGGCGCCAGAAAAAGGTCTTGATAACCCGCAAGTATACGGGATCAATTGTAGCCTCTTTCAATAAGTAAGAGTGTCGAACCCAATGAGGAGCTACAGGTAAAAAAAAATTCTCTCAAGTCCTATCTGCCACTGATACGACTCTATGCATGCTTAGTGTTCGCTTCACCTAGAACAAATATGAAACTAGTAGAACTTTGTAGGTGTTGTTGGATAAGTTTGCAAGATAATAAAGAACACGTAAATAAAAAGTAGAGGCTGTTTAAATAAAGATACAATAAAATAAACTAGATCACTGATGGCGCGCGTTGCTGCACCCGTCTTTTTTATTGTGGAATGTTAGGGTTTGATGCCATTACGTGGAGTATTTTATCTCGATGCTAAAGTAATATTAATATTATATATGATTTTGCTTAATCTCATTTACCTGAAACTTAAAACAGTAGTATTGTATATAATTTTGTGTAATTTCATTCTACCTGAAAGTTAA